TCTCTGGTGTTCAGTTCTTGCTGTGTCCCCCCCAAAAAGAGAATGCTGTGTACATGCTGTGCAAACACAACTACATCAAAGAAACAAACTAATTTCTCAGTCTGTACTAAATCCCTCCAAATATTGTTAGCTTACAGCTCAGTTCAAGAGAGATAAATGCAGTGTGTGCTTCCTGAGACATTGAAAATAAGCTATGAAATCAACAGGCAGGATAAATCCATCCCTTTACAGACTTCATACTCAAGAAGTAGCCTAGATGCTAAACACGCATCAGCTTTGTGCCTGAAGACACTGCTTACATTTATGCTGGGTTCTTAATCCTTGTAAAGTCATTTCATATTGTATAGATCTGTTTGGGTGTATTTTTCATCTGTCCATCAATTGCTTAATGTATTCAGACTTCACAGGCTCAATTAAGTCTGACGATCATATACCAATTTTCTAAGCTTATTTTTTTTCAGTTACTAAGTGGTTCTAAGTTTGCCCTTTTATATAATAATAAACCATAATTTTATATTTAGTGGACATCTCAATATGTAATTATCTGTTTGCACAGCCAATTAAAAGAGTTGTCTTCTCAAGACATGCCTGAGAAACATCACACTGTGCCATAAAAAGCTGCTGTTCAAGTTACAAGTGCTTCTGAGTGTTCACTTTTTAATGAAGCTTGCTTCCAGGCACTGCTCAGTGTGCTAAACATTCAGCGTGTTAAGATATTTTCAGTGTCTAGTGGCTCTGAATGTGGAAGAAATCAGAAAAAAACATGGGAAAAGCATTTAAAGATATTTTTCAAGCTAATATTGAGACCTAAATTTTGGGGTTTTGTTTTTTTGGCTGGTGGCTAAAAAGATAAATGATAACATCCCTTTTCTTTAGAGGAAGCATTGACTATGATGAATTATTAACCCAGAGACAGGAAGACCAAGCAGTATAACTGAAGAAGGCTATGTGGAGGTGTGAGCAATTAAAGAGGAGGGTTATGGTATTTCATTTGCAGGCTGAAATACAACTGCAACTGCCTACAGTTAGAGTTGATTTTTACTGAGCTCAGCTTCTGCATTATGCCCTGGAGAAGGTCTGTGCAGACCTCTTCACTGCCTCCCAAATGGGAGGAATGCATTTGGAAAGCTTTTTTTTTGGAGGGAGCAGAGCAGGGATGGAAGGGTTCTATCCTGAGTGAATTTCCATGTTTGCATTGTGGTGTTCACTTAAAACTGCATCTCTATTGCACTGTCTCATTTTGAACTTTCAGCTATAAGGAAGAACCAATTCTAAACAGATAATATCTCAACAATGTTCTAAGGATGGCTCACTTGTCAGGGGCTTAATGACAAATGCAGCATATGATAGCAAAAGTGTGGAGAAGATAGGGTAAACATTGTCCTTTCTTTGAAGTAGTATAATCTGTTTGAATATAGTGGTTTAGGTGTCTTGGCTACTTTCTTGAGGTTGCTTCTTTATGCTGTGGTGTTTACAGTCTGTGAAGTTTGGTGTATTCAGGAATGTGGGTACCTGCAGCAGGCTTCCTACCTTTGTCTGAATGCCAGCATGGGGCTGTTCCCTTAATTACTGAAATAGCATTTTTTAGAACTGACAGTGGTGTCAGCAGCTCAATTCTGGCCATACTGTCTCTTTACAGGGAACAAGTCTGTGATTTGCACAAATGCCTAAGTTAACTCAGGTATACCAGCCACACCAAGTAATCGCAGTGTGTCACAGAAACAACCTATCTTCATTAGCCTTTCAGCTTAGTTGCATGAGGGTTTAAGATGCCCTCATATAACTGAACTTAAATACATCACTGTTAGTCAGGACTAAGGGAACAAATTGTATTGTGGTACTGTTTTGGGGTTTTATTTTTAAATCAATATCACATGGCATCCTACCATTTTAGAACTGAATTTGAAATTACCCAGTGGATCTAAAGTTGTCACTAAAATTGATGGGAGTTACCTATTTTGATCCCTTTTACACACACGTGTGTGTATATATATGCATGTTTGTGTGTGTGTGTATATATCTGTGTGTTTCTGCATATATATACCTAGAAAACAAGATAATACCTTTATTCCTGGCATGGCTCTAATCCTGAATTCCTGAATGCATTGGGGTTTGGGTTTTGTTGTTTGTTTGTTTTTTTTTTGTTTAATATGTACAAAATAGGAGCTTCACAAATGCTTATTTCTCTGAAAACAGAGTCAAGAGAGTGCAAGGCAAGGGACTGACTATAGGATTGTACCTAAATCCAAGGATTTGGGCTTGATACCTTCAGCCTAGTGTGACACAACAATTCCCTGTATCTGTGCCACCCATCTGTGCTTTAGTATTTTTGCCTTTAATACGGGCCTGTCTTCTTGCAGTTGGGTCTCAGAATGTAAATCAGCTGAAAACAGGAAAATACTAAAGGAGGAATTAAAAAATACTGGAAGAGCAGTAGTAGTTTGAATAACACTCAAGAAGTTCTATATTCTGTAATGTGTTAAAAATGTCTAATGCACTAAACTTGATTTTTTAATGATTTAAAAAAATAATGTGCGTTTTGTGACTTAGAAAAGAAAAAAAAACCAAAAAAGCTCCATCATCATCATCACTTGGGCAGAGACAGCAGTGGGTTTGCTTTCCATGCTGCACCTTCTGTTCCCCAGATCAGAAGGGAATGGCAGCAATGCGGAAGCCGCAGTTTAGCTCCTGGGCACAATGGGATCCTTAATGCCAATTAAAAGGCAGACTTAATGACTACCAAAAGCAGCCCCCGAGCCAGGCCTCCTTAGCTAAAAAAAGATGGGAAAGCAACATGTTGTAGGAAATGATGGAATTTTGAAAATCCCGTAAGAAACAGGGAAACACCCTTTGCTTTCCCTCCTGCATCGGCAGCTTTCATTCTGCTAAAAGAGAAGCCATATAAAGATACAGAGGAGTAACTGGTACAACTGCCCCATTCTGAAAGTGGCTTTTAGCTAACTGGGGGATTGTTTGTGGTCAGTGTGTTATTTCTGACTAAAATGGCACTTCATAAAAAGAACAAATTGTTGGCAGCCACTGCTCTTTGAATTCTATTTCTATTCCTAGTCTCTATTTCTGTTACTCTCAGTTGCTTTTCTCCTAACAAATCAAACTTCAGGATTGCAGCAGGAAATTTAGATTTAACCTCAAGAGTCAATGTTTTGTCTCATGTCTGCTCTAATGTGATGCAGATGTTGGAACTGCTGTACGTAACCCAAGATTTTATTGAACTAGCCCTCCCTGCCTAATAGGAAACATAGCTAACCGGGGTGCACGTTAAACACAGATCGCTCTGAAGGTACTAAGCATGGGAGTGTGAGAAATATAGCTACGAAATTATTTGGATATTCCTTCAGTTGCACATCCTTCAGCTGTAGGGTAAGGAGTTTCTGCCATGGTAAAGCATCAGGGTTCTTTATCTTACTTGTTCTAAAAAGCAAAAATGTGATACCTGAAATTGTTTACAGGCTGGATATTCTCTTTTCCCTCCCAGTTCTTTGATTCCTTCTCTTTAAGAGACAAACAGAAAAAATGGAGAAGTAGATGATCTCTTGTATCCCTTTTTACTGCTCCTGTTTTCCAACAACCCTCATTTCCGCTATTCTTGCTTGGTTTTTGAGTTTTCCTTCTCTTGAGTTGCCAGCGTGGCCCGAGCATGCTAAACACTTGGGTATGTCTTTGATGAGGACTGAATGGTAAGCACTGACGTTTCTCAAGACTCTGCTATGCCATGTTAGCCCCAGTACAAAGTCATCTGAAATGAGTTCTTTCCTCTATTAGTTCTTATTTTTCCTTATTTCCAATAATTGTTTCTAATGATGAGATTAAAGTTTGCTACTTTTCTATACAAACTGTGCACTATGTTTCTTAAATGAGATTTTTTTTAAGGTAAAACCAGAAGGTTTACAACATCAGAGTGCTTTACTTGCCCATAGCAAAATAGGAATTCTGTATTAATGTAGCGCATCAAAACAATCCTCATGTCTTTTAATACAAAAGCCAGGCAGAAACATGTTACTTAGAGCAATCTCCAAGCAGCAAACAGACCAGAGAAAAGCCCTTAATACACAAAAAATAGGGAAAAACCCCACAAACCAGAGTTCTGCATGGAAACAGAGATTAAGATATGATAAGAATAGATACATAAGTCTTATATATCTTTTCACCCAGTTAGGCTGACTGATACTGTGGCTTTTTTGTTTAAACCTTGCACTTCCACTTCTTGCTGGAGGACTTCTTTGACCCTTAAGTGGAACAGTGTGGGTGTCAGACAGGGTGCAACTGGGTCTTCTGGCAGCCCTAGGGCTGCTGGCAGCTGTATTGGTAATACCAGCCCTGATGCAGATAGACACAGTATTAGCAAAGGCAAGTTACTTGTCCTGTGTGGGTTCAAGCTGAGCTCCAGAAAGGTCACAGCTGTATTAAAAAAATGTAGTAAAGCCCCTCACTGATTCAAATTATGGCTGTATCACAGAAATGAACTCATTTCAGCTGCTGTATCAGCAAAGCAGATCTTTAGTTGAACCTTAGTATATTGAACTATAAACCTGTTATTTCCCCAGTAATGTGGGCAGCTCTGTTTGAGATTAATTGCCTTTATATATTCCACTGCAAGGTTTTTGTTGGGGTTTCTTTCCTATATGAACAGAGAGCAGCTTATGCACAATGGGGCTATGCTGTTTCTTGGGCCCAGCAGAGGAACCTGTATGACAAATAGTTGATCCTACCTACTAACTACATCAGAATTATAAAAATGTCACTCATTACTCAGGGAAATCAGTAGCAGCTACTATTTCTAGCAGTTAACTTTTGGAAGAACGAGGAGGGTTTCATTGTTGCCTAAAGCCTCCAAACTCAGTTTGTGTCCAGTAATGAGTACAGGAATACCGAGTCATTTTTAAAATAGCACGCTAATTCTGTTACCATATGAGAAAGCTCTGAGATGATCAATGTAGCAGAACTGTCTCTCACTACATATTGATCTTTTTCTCTTCCAGGTTTCAGTTTATTTCTTTCATTTCCACAAACACTATACAACATTTACAGGTAAGTGAATTAGCATTAAATTAATTCTATTCCCTCCCATTTAATTACGTATATTTAATGGTTTCCTCACTTGAATAATAAATGTAATGCTTGAAGTAGCCTAGCTTCTTTCAGCCAGATGCTGTCCTGATAATGTAGTAAAGGGTTTTCTGGTCAATTTTTTGAATCTGAGTGGTTTCTTTTCCATGTTTGTAACTCCTTTTCCCTTTACTTGCCATTCTCCAGGCAGTCTCACACTGATGAAAGCTCTGTAGTTACAATCAATCCATTTTATTTGCAGTCAAATGTGACTTTAACTTCTACCTGTGCTAGGTGAAAGTCTGTACCTGATCACCCTGCACTCCATGAACTACTTTCTTGTCTTCCAGACCCTTCTGTAAAACTCTCCTCTGTATGAAGTTTGCACATAATTGCTGTCAGATACAAGCTAGACAGGTGGCAAGCTGTGATTACATCTCAGTGCTGGCTTGCTGCACCTAGGAATTTTATACATGGCTAGTTTATACTCTGATGGCCTACTTTCATTAATGCTGTCTGCATTGCACTGGTAGCTCATTTCCCTCATCTGTCACATCAGGTCTCTCAGGTCCTAAGTGTCCTGGAGGAGGGACTGTCACTGCCTGTCTTCAGGAATTAGTGGAAATTAATATGAAGATTTAAATTTTAGAGAGACTGTAAGACAATAACACATCACTCCTCCACAGCCCTTTTCACATTGCAGTTAATAAAAACATGAATTACCCCATTTTGGGGCAGGAGGAGTGGAGAGCCAGGAGACGTGGGGCAGGAAAGGCTGAGGACTGGCAGAAAGGCTGAGCAGCAGCAGGAGGGGGCTAGTGACCAGTGATGCAAGGGACTCTGGTTCAGGGAACACTGGGAGAAGGAGGGAAACACCATGGGCATGGCAGTCCATGGCAGTAGCAGCGTTTAACCAGTTGAATATTTAGTATTTGCTTTCTTTTCTCTCATGTCAGGACTTCTTAGCGTTTTCCTTTCCAAGTCATCATTCGACACAGTTTCTCTCAGCCCTTCCGGTGGGTTTATGATTCCTCTGAACAGAAGGAGCACTGTAATTTTAAACATCCGGTCAGGTTTGCTTAAAGGATGCACACACAAGCTGTTTGGTGATGAGGGATTTGAGTTTTCCAGTCATCCCCTCAGTTTCCTCATCCTGCTGCCTGTCCTCAGTTGCTGTCTTATCAGAAGAATATTCTTTTTTGGAATGAGAAAGATATGAATTGTCTTTTTTGTCTAGATGTTTCTACAAATACAAGTGTTCAGATTTTAAACAGAACATTTCCTAGTACACAGAATTGCTCTTCTGAGCTATTTGTATGAACAGATGGTTCAATGGTAGTAACCTTTAATAAATTAAACCTCCTACTCCTTTTATAATCTCTAAGTGAGTTTTGCCTGAGTGAAAAAGATGCAAGATACACAAAAGAGCCGTTCATCTTAGAGTTATCTTTTTCCTAGCTGACAGAAAATAGCCATTCACTACCTTTAATAGTACTACCTTTAGAAGACAGCTTAAAATAGCCAAGAAAACACAATGAATCATAAATTTTCCTGTACTCTAATTAGCAAAAAAAGGCTCCCCTTTAGGCTACACTTTGGCAACACTACAGGATTGTTTGGCAGCATCACCTGAAGATCTAAACAACAGCAATGTGTGCCAGCCCCAGCCACATGCTTGACTCTGAAAAACATGAAAACATGGGGGATGTTGAGGGAAGTAATTCAATGTCTCACATCAGAAGTTTCATCCTCTAAAAAGATACATATTTTGAATTCACAGCAAGCCTGCATGCTGTGCATTTGGATGACAACTAAAACAGAGTACTGCAGCTCACTTTGTGTTAAGCTCAGCGGTCCATTGCCAGGCAATGATGAGTGTGTGGAGCTGACCAGAAGCTATATGAATAAACCAATATAATTTTACTCCAGAAACAAATGTTACTTGAGTATCCTACAATTTCTCAGAAAATACCTGGGTATGCAGCACATTTGCACAGGTAGTTCGTGTGCTTCAAGATGAATTCTTGGGCTGAGTTTAGTTCCTGGGCAGTAACAGCATGGATATATTTTCTTACTCCATAAAACCATTGTATTTATTTACAGAGCACATTTGAAGAAAACACTGAGGAATAACTCGTTGTATGAAGGACTCCTACCTCTTGTGTCACCTCTGTTGCTGTTCATGCTTCTTACAGTCTGGGTGGCTTTATCTCCAGTCGACATATTAGCAAAGCAACCAAGATTGTTTTTATGGATGGTTGGGGTTGCTTTCTCAAACGTTATTGTAAGTATGTTTATTAGTGGTGGTGGTGTTATTTAGAGACTGCTTTGACTTTTACATGAAGAAAGAGAAGGAAACAGAAACTGCAGCTAAAACTGAGCAGAATCACACATCTCTTCTACCTCTGAGTAGACTGCAGTTTATTAGGCAGTAAGTGCAATGCATATTCTTTAGGACTTGTTTTTTTCTTTTACCAAAACATCTATTGCAGTATTAGAGGCTCATGTGAATTAAAAATGTATGTGTGTTAGCTGAATTTTTCAACATTTTAGAAGCAAGCATTAAAAATATATGGGTGTTAGTTAGGATTTGTAGCATTTTAAAAATTAAAACCAAGCCTTTCATTTCCTTTGGTCCCTTATACATATTTCCTCCGGTATCAGAATAAGGCATAACAGTGCTTTTCTTGTCCATGATAGTCTAACCCTGGGTTTCCATTATCTACTCTGTAGACTACGAATTGCAAGACGCTCAGACCTCTACTTTGAGATTAACTCATTGAGCAAGTCTCAGAAATACCCAGGTCTGAGCAAACCACCACAGCACAACTGTCACAGCTCCCACTTAGGAAGCCCTCAGGGGCACATGTTTGGGTCCAGGAGGAGGGGATGTAGTGGGTAAGTAAGTCCCGCAAAGGGGACTTTCAGCCATTCCTGTAGCAGGAGCACAGTGGATGACGTGGTAGCTGGCTGACGAGCTGAGACATCTCAGACACAGGAGATACTTTATTAGGAGCCTCCCAGGGGAAGACGGCAAGAGGCAAGGCACTAAGGATCTACTGGGACCACAGACTACAGCTGCTAGAGGTGTAAATTCAGCACAGCCAGGGTAGCATTGCAAATGATAGGTGAGGTAGATGGAAAAGCGCATCCCACCCCAAGGGCATAGTCCTATAGCCTTACCTCTTCTTTCCAGTCTGCCTCTCCAGACTCCTCTGCTTTCATCTCCGAATACTGTTTTTGCCTCATTTGTAGTGTCAGTCAGTGCTTCAGGACCAGGGGGAATAAGGAATTGAGGGAGGAGCACGGAGTATAGTCCCATTTTGCAGTCCTGGGATACACTGAAGGTGAACTGCTCCAAATACTAATAAGCAATTGAATTGAGTATTGTACTTCACATGTGTCCTGGGTTCAGCAGTAGCAGTCATTTTTTCCTCCTTCTTAGTAGCTGGTGCAGTGCTGTGGTTTTGACTTTTGGCCTGGGAATGGTGCTGATAGCATCGATGTTTTTAGTTACTGCTCAAATGTTTAGACTGGCCAAGGACTTTGTGAGCCTCATGCTCTGCCAGGGAGGAGGGGAAGCTGGGAGGAAGCAGAGACAGGACACCTGACCCAAACTGACCAAAGAGGTATTCCATACCACAGCACGTCATGCCCAGGGTGTAACTGAGGGTTTCCTGGAATGGCTAGGGCACTGCGGGGTTGGATGAGGTATTGGTGGGTGCTCAGTCAGGCTGGGGGGAGCGAGTTATCAGTCAGTGGGTGCTGAGGTGTTGTATTCTCTTCCCTTGTTATTTCCCTTATCGTTATCATTATTGGTGGTAGCAGTAGTGATCTGTGTTATACCTTAGTTACTAAACTGTTCTTATCTCAACCCATGGGAGTTGAATTCTTTTGATTGTCCTCCCCATCCCTCCAGGAGCAGGGGGAGGGCAAGGGGTGGGGGTGGGGGGTAGTATAAACTGTGTGGCTGACATGCCAACAAGGCTTAAACCACGACAACATGGTGTAATAATGGTTAAAAAAATGTGAAATCCAGCCTCTGGGTGGGTGCAATTATTCAGCCAGAAAAATTCTAGTGTACAGATTGCTTTCTCAATTTCTGACTCCCCCTGCAATGATTCCCAAAGCACTCATAAAACCAGTATTATTAAAAAAAAATCAAAATACTGATAATGCTTTGTAAGAAGAGCTATTGACACCAGGTACCAATGCTCACTTCTTGCATTACTGAAAGGTAATCATGTTTTTATGGCTTATCTTTGCATTCTTCAGCTTCCACAGCACAGACAGTAAAGCCAGTATTTTTTTTGCCTATGGTCAGACTCCTACTGCTGCTGTCACAGGGTTTCAGGCACTGCACAGGAATGAATTTTTCACTCTTCTATAGCTTTGAGAAAGCGTAAAATCTATTTTTAACCACATTTAAACTCTAAGTGAAACTTAAATTGATAAAATATTTCACGTGTCTAAATACATTTTTGGTTTTTTGGTAAAGGAGATGAGAAACATGAGACACATTTCTTAAGGAGTCTAAACCAGGTAAAACACCCACATGTGCTTAAATGGTTTTTAAAATGTGAACTTTGGCTGAGTTAATCTCATTATGTTTCAAGAATTCAGTAAAATTAAGCTAATTCCTTTCGGTTAAACCATGCACCATATATTGTATTCATTTTTTTTCTGCTTTTCTGAATGGGATCTTTTACTCTGGGCCCCCAGCTCTACCTCCAGGGAGTCCACTGCCATGTTTGAGCCAAGGAAATGGTGGTTTAATACATGGAGAAGTGCTAGAAAAGAAAACCAGGATTTAAAAGTGGCATATATTACCTTCCCTCCCTTCTATACAATGAATCAGAATGTATTTCTGTCACACCATCTCACTGAAATACCAATACACTCTCACAGTGATTAAGTGGCGGCACATTTGATTTAGGATCACAACTTCATGAGGCCGTGTGGAAGCACAAGGTAGCAAACAAATTCCCTTTTTGTAAATATGTGTTTCAGCTTATAAAATGAAGCGTGTCAAAACACTGTCTCCAGGAAAGAAGTGTGTATGTTAAATTATTTGTACTGAAGTCCTTTAAGACTCTGGGGGGATGCTTTAGAGCAGCCTTCCACTACCTAAAGAGGGCAGACAAGAAAGCTAGAGAGGAACTTCTTACAAGGCATGTAGTGACAGGACAAGGGAGAACAGATTTAAACTGAAAGAGGATAGATTTAGATAAGATATTAGGAAGAAGTTCTTCCTTATGGTGGTGGTGGTGAGGCCCTGGAACAGGCTGCCCAGAGAAGCTGTGGCTGCCCCATCCCTGGCAGTGTTCAAGGCCAGGTTGGGTGGGGCTCCGAGCACCTATGGGTGAGGTGCCCATAGCAGGAGGTTGGAACTGGATGATCTTTAAGGTCCCTTCCAACCCAAAGCAATCTGTGATTCGATGCCTACTCACAGACAGTGAGGCACAGAGGTATATCTATAGTAGTCTTCTCACCAGAAACAAGCCCCATTTTGAACTCTAGCTTTGTTTTCCTCTTATCAGAAGCAACATGCAGAGAAAACAGATGTGGTTTTACCCAGACCCTGGACTAACCCAGTTCTTCTCACCTGGCTCTTTGTTCCGACAGTGCAAGGTGATCATCTGCCAGATGAGCAGCACCCAGCCGGAGCTTTTCCACTGGTTCCTTTTCCCGCTGGCACTGGTGGTCTATGCAGCCATCTCCGGGCTGCTGGGCTGGATGGAAGAAGCCGTGCTCGCTGTGTTCACTGTGCTGATCACGGCTGCCCATGTGCACTATGGGGTCTGTGTGGTGAGTGGCTATGGGAGAACTGCACTGAGGTGGGGAGGAAGATGGGGTCTGGGAATGGTTTCTGTCTAGCTGGTGCAGTGATGTGGGAGTCTGGATGCTGTTATGGTTGGGTTGTTTTTAACATGTATTGTTTTGTTTAGTCTAAGGTTTAAAAGTCACTTTACTGCAGGCAGCGCCTTCTCACACATGCAGAAACTTCAGTGACTTATATTATTCAGTGTAGCCGACTGGTTTTGGCTTTAAAGCCATCACAATCAGAATATTTATGGGCTGTTTTTTAAGCAGTGGTTGACTCATGTGGCATGAATGATCCCATCTCTTTTTTCCCTTTCTTCTTCCTGAGGTTATTTGACAGAAAAAAAATAGGAAGGTAAGATGCAAAGTGCCAGGAATAGAATTCATAAAATCAGGTTAACTTTGCTTTGACTCTGCAAGCAAAATAGTTGTCCCAATTTCTAATCTTTTATTGGCCCTCTGTTAGCATCTTTCAGCCTGGAGACATGAATGAGACATTCGGTTTTAGCAATGCATTTTTGTGCCTACTAGATATCAGTTTTGTCATTTATTGCCATCTGAATTACTGCTGAAACTCTATTTCCCTCAGATAATGCCCTCTTTTTTAAAGAGTATTGTCAAACTATCCTTAGGAAAGTGTCTTAATGGAGGGGTTGCTTTTAGATGAAACACGTTGCATGGGAAAGGTCTCATTTCACAGGAAGTTTGTCAGCATTTTTTTATTTGAGATACACCCCTGGGATATAAGGATTTTTCTTTGAAAGAAGCCTTTTGTTAGCAGACATCAGCATCATTGTAGATTTTACCTCAGCATCAATACAGACCAGTTGGTGGAGGTCAGAATGGATACACCTCGTCAAAATTTGCTATTGACTGAGGTGGCCTAGCTCCATCACAGTTTATGTCATCTGTGAATCTGGTCCATAGCAACTTGACTTCACTTCCCATCAGTGTGCTGCAAGAGAAATGTAGAGACCACAGCTCCTTGTAGGTCCCTATGTACTTGAAGGTCTCCAGATATGCAAGGAATGTGGTCAGGTTCTCCTCTTTCTGACCAGAAGAGAGATGTTGAATTGTGAAGCATATCAAAACTGGTTGCTAATCTCTGCAATTCTTCTTTAGGGCAGGCAGCTGAGTGAGCACTTGAATATTTACATCTTTTCCCTGAAGAAACGTGTCCAGGAGTGAGCACCTGCACTACGATCAGACTGTAATACTTGACACGGAGATTTGCAACTCTTCTGATGTGATACATAGTTGGAATTAATCTGATTAAAATAACCAAAGAATAGATCATCCGGGTATCTGAACCACTGCGACAATGAGCTATGCAGCAAGATGCTTCATCTCAGAGGAAGGTTCCTGTCCAGCAGAGAAGTGTTTACCAAGTTCTTCTGCTCTAATATTCTCTTCAGCAATGTTATGTTACTGCCCTCTCTGAAGCTTTTGTCTTCCTCCTCCTTGCCACTGCGTCCAAAGTCCTGGGTAAATCCATGTCAGGTTCCATGAGATCCTCGATGGTTTATAACCAGCACTGTTTTTTCCCAGCGTAGTCACCAGTGGGACCCTGCCAATGCAAATCCTCCCTGGATGTCCTTCCCACTCAGACATCTGTGCCTGCTTCATTTTCCATATTTATTTTCTCACAACTCATTTATTCCATACAACCTCCTGAAGGGCTTACACACATTCAGGCTTTCCCTCACCTCAGATGAAGGTGTGAAGAAAAGAGAATGAGATCAGAAAACTATGGGTGCAGTAAAGTGTTTTTAAAACCTATGGGATTTTTCTTCCCCAGCATTAAGATGAACCTCAGCTGACCTGTATCTGTCAGCAGTGCAGGCTCCTTATAGCAGCACCTGGCCTTCATGCTTGTTTTCTGGGCAGTAAAAAGCACATTGTTGGCATTTCAGTAGCTACAAGCAATATAACCCTACAAAGGTAACCAGCTGAGAATAAATTTGGCCAAAAAACTTTAGAAGATTCTCATACTTCACTGCAAAATTAATTAGTCAACATCATCTATGAATGCAAAATACAAAGCAAATCATTATTTGCCTTTGTGTTTGAAACAAATTCGTGTGGTTTTAGATAATGGGGAAAAAAAAGGCAAGAAAGGCTTTTTTTAAACATTACATGTTTACGTGCAGATGCAAACCACTCGCTTCATTTATAATATATGTAGGTTTTCTGTGTGCCTTGGAGGAAGGAGGAAAAATTTAAGTTTCATCTCTTTTCATACGCTGCTCTAGCCAGAGGGGTTTTGTGGCCTTGAAGCACTAATGAAACAATCTGCCCACTTTCCCCAAGGTAAGCATTAGATTACATTTCTTGCACAGAGGGATGTGATTGATGGACTGGCATGTTTATTAACTAGTTACCTATCTCGCTTGCCAGAAGCTGGGCAGAAGCGTAGTTGTTGAGCTGCTGAGCCTGAAGTTCAACTTTTTCAGTTCTTAGACCATTTCTCTAGCTTTATCACTCACCTTATCATTTTTCCCCAATTAATATACCCTTACATCAGTGGCTCTTATTAATATTTTCAGCTGAGCGCTGACTTTGTACATCTTTGTACAATTTCATAGCTTTGTTCAATTTTAAATTGAACAGCTTCAGTTTAAGTTCCTACTGCCTGTTAGAGCAGTTGATCTACCACACCGTCAGTTGGGCTGATTTCCCATGGCAGCCCTTACGACAGGGACCAGGGGACAGGCCTGCACATCAGCTTCCCCTCTTCACAAAGCAGAAAATTCAAACCAACTTACAACGGTTTTTACGGTTTGAAAACAGACGTTCCACCTAGTAAACAGGCATGCTGAGGGTCCCATCCCCTACTACAGCCACATACTGCAGTCACAGTTCAAGCAGCTAAAAGCTTGAGTTAATCAGAGGACATAGGCCATCCTGTTAATGCTGATTTGGAGATTTTGCAGAGAGCCCTGCAGGGAGAGGAGGCTCCTGCACCCTCTAGCACCCCTGTGGTCCAGCTCCAGGGCTGGAACAAAGAGAGGGGTCTTCCAGCCTTCCTCCTCACTGTCGGGTGACCACACCTGATGCTCAGGGAGTGTGGGGTTCCCACATTGCTGCTCCCTATCTGCCCAAGGACTCTTTTTCTTAGAAAAAGCTTGACAGCTGTTTGTTTAATAGGCAGTTAATTAAACTGTTTATTATAGGCAGTTCTGACTGTGTTTGAAGGGGAACAAGTTTAATAGAGACATATACCCAGAAATCCGTTTGATGAAGTCAAATACTACATCCGATACCACCTATAATGCCCCAAAAGTCTCACCTATTCCAGCAGTTTGTATTTAACCCATCCATCAAAAGTATCCGGAGGAAGTCCTGACTAGAAAAGAATTAGAATACAATAAACAAAAATACCTCTGGATTGAATGTGGTTATACTGGAGGCACTCCCTTTTCCCTCTGTCTTGCACTTATTTAGGAAACAGTTGGAAATAAGGTTTCCAGAAGCTGCACAATCTGATGCACTGTAATGGAGTATTTTGAATATATTTCATTAAATGAAATGATAGAACTTGAACTGCCACAACTTGCCTGCACTTGTATCTTTCTAAAGAGAAATACAGAGTCACTTTCAAAGGAAATTAAGCTCCAGCCAGCTTTCTCACATTCTGTATGAAGATGTGGCAAATAAATAACTTTCCCTTTTTGAAACAACTTGTCACTACGATCTCTATGAAGACAAGTATAAAAAGAGAGCATGTATTGCACAGTGTATATATTGGATTGTTAGCCATCTGAGATGGTAACTGGTTCAATGAATGGGAATAAAAATGCTTTGTTCATAGGGCAGCATGGTCACAGATTTATTCTGCAAAGTCAGATAATGGTATGTACGTGACCTAACAGTCACAACATTATGTCAGAAAGTTTTCGACTGTTTGAAAGTAAATAACTGGAAAGTAAGTAACTTTTTTATGCTGGGGATTAGCGCTAGCCCGAAGACATGCTTCCCCCCTTGTCTTGTACAAAGCAACCAAACTAGGGCTGCTCTCCCAGATTTGAGTGCCTGGGTTGGAAATGGGCTCTTCTGGTCCTGGCTTCATCCTTCACCCTCTCCATCAGAAACCTTCCCTAAGTGGTGGTGGGCAGTGTTCAGCCCCAGCCCCAGGGATAGCTGAAGGCAGCAAAGGGGCCTAGGCTGATCTTTTAGTATAGAGCACAACCAGGTAGCTTCAATGACAGGAAGAGGTCCTCACCCAAGGCTCAAAGCCCTGGAGATTTAGCAGCAACTACTTGCAGCAATATTGCTTCATGCTGCAAAAGAGCTGTAAGAACTACAATTAAGTTTCTCCCTTTTCTTCCAAAACCCCATCTTTTAATCTACAACAAAAGTGACTTATGCACTGCATTGAACAGTCATCCCTGAATGGCTGGCCATTGCATGAAAAGTCCATTGGGAGCTTAAGTGCCCTTGTTACCGTTCTCTCCACTCCCTGGCTGCTGCAAGTTTTGCTTTTGCGGTATCAAAACTGAGACAAGAGATTTAGTACTCAAATCAGAAAGCATTTACCATAAAGAAGAATGCTCTGTTTACATGCACATACATTCTCATTTTTGATTTGCAGAAGGGGGTACATTTGCTGAGCTCTTGGGGAAGCAAATACTACCTACACACATTGAATAAGTGAATCTCTTTTCAAAGCAGCTGCCTTTTTCTTCCTGGTCCCATATGCAGTCACTAATGAAGAAAAGAATACGTATTTAAAGCAGAAAAGTATTATTTTAGAATGTTGTGAATAGTCTCTAGAGCTAGACAGATTTTAACATATATTTTTTTATTAAATATGTAAAAAGATAAACGCAAGTTATTCACATATTCAGACAAAAATCTACTCTACCATGCGACAATCTGTGGATAATGTAAAACGACTGATACATCCAAATAAGACTTTTTTGTATCTATTATGCCATTACTTATCTATTTATAATTAATACATATGTTTACATTCCTTTCGGTTTACATTTAATATATAACCAAAGCTTTATGGTGTGCTATTTAGTAAATGTAATTACAAATGCATATTAAAACCATAACAGAAGAATGGGTTACTCACAGGGGGTGGGAGGAGAAGGACAACTCTTTCTCCTTTCAGAGCATCGCTCGCCACTCAGCACAGCCCAGTTTTCTAGTGCCCACAAGGTATCTTACCGCCCTGGCTCCCTACATCAGTCACTCCCCCCGCCTTGATACAAGCAGTGAGAGGGTGATGCTCTTTGGACCAGAAACAGGATATAAGGAATTTTCAGCAGATGAAGTTCAGCTTTTTAGGACTCTTACTATTGTTTAATATGTGCTCCAAAGAGAGAAAAGGAGAGGTGCACAACAGCCTGGTCATGAGCCCTCCAGGGAGCTCAGCAACCCCAACCATTCGCACCTTTAGAAATACATTTTATCTTCAAGTGCTCTCCATGCATCTGCTCAAGTATTAGCAGAAGGGTGAACTGCAGTAAGAGGAGACTGGTGCTGATGGAATTAAGCTTATAGACTGATCCCAAACTCCTTGCCCCATCAGAAATCCCACACAGGTTAAAGGAGTCTGGAAAAAAAAAAATTAGTAACTGCTCTTCAACAGTATTATGAAGAACTACCGTTTATTACAATGACAATTGTAATAAGTACATATGTTCTAATAAACACAAATACAACAAAAATGACAATTCCCCCATTTGTGGTGATTCTTGGAAATACTTATTTTGGAATATACACATTTTTTTAGAAACCAGACCTTGCTTGTAACCAATCAAGAAAGGAAAGGAAAGCGCTGGCCAGCAGGTTGCAGTACTTCCACTTCATCACTGGGTAGGACACGAGGCCAGCGCTGGAGACAAGGCTGGGAAACCTTCAGCCTGCGGGGTCCAGAAACTCTTCTGCTGAGCAGGGGGAGGATCAAGGATCTGGAAATACCTGTTCTAGTGCTTAGCAGTATTTTATACGTTGTCTGTGGTGCGACACACAACAGCAGGGTTCTCACATTTAGCCAAGAGCCACTTAGCTGCAGAAGATCGATTAGGAACAGAAAACTGCATGAGCATGTGTCTGTGTGCACCAGGGGGTTGATTAATTGAAAACCTCTCCATGGAAGCGTAAAGCTGGAAACTTACGCATTAGGAGCCTATGAAGGTCTAACATGATTTAGCTGTTCATTACGCTTTGGAGTTTTCCAGTGACTGCTGATTGGGATGGGACTTCCATGTGCCTGCTAACTCAGTGTAACAATCCAGAGCTAGGAAAATCAAGTGAAAGACCAAGAATACCAAGCATTAAATATTCAGAGAGACTACAATGCACAGTTTTACAAGAAAAATACGGAATGCTTTGCATACTTCAAGATACCTCTGTTTATAAAATACCATCATTTAGAACAGGGCGATGGGACAGCACTGGAAGGGAACACTCTGACTGCAGACATCTCCACGGCAGACATGGTTCTGCCCGGCACAGGCCTCACTGAAGGAGGGTTAGCCAAGCAAAGAACTGACTCTGTGCCCCTTGGTGAGCTGGGCCCCCTCTGATGTATCCTCTGTCTCCAATAGGAGCCCTCAACTGCCCCTCTGTGCTTTGTAAGCAGCCTCAACACCCATGAAGTGTCCACTACTCACTCACAGAGAGTTCAGGGGGCTCAAGGCTAGTGCTGTTGCTGGTCTTTCCCCATGCTTTACACCAGCGAGGAAATTTCTGTCTTCCAACTCGTATGGCCAGGGCAGCAGAGCGGGAAGGACAGCAAGAAGAAACGGCTGGCCTACTTTGTCCTCTTCCGAGGGCTGGGAAGCCAAGTATGACAGCAGAGATCATGTCCTGCAGCTATACTTGTGTCAAGGAGATTTCTCACCTCCATCAGCATTGAGCTATGCAGAGGCAGAGCTGCAGCTGGAGGTTGGGACTGGATTTCTCAGGAAGGAAGAAAAGCTGGGAAGCATCTACTGACTAGTCAGGAAACTAGGAGGGTTTTCAAAAAACTCAAGTGGATGTCTGTTCCTCCAGAAATAAGCCAAAAAACATATCATGCAGCTTTCTAACAAGCTTTCTAACACAGGGGTTTAAATCTCTGCTAGTGAAACAGATGCTCTGCCTTGCATTTCGTGAAGGCAGGAAAGGAATAAACGTGAGCAACACGAGCATTCTCCTCCACAACACATCTCATTGTTATGGCTTGATTATGACTTCCTCTGTATCCCTTTATTCCAATTGTTTGACCAAATTTATGCCCCAAGGCAGACGTACTAGAAAACGCAAAAGCACCACAAAGTGAGAGACACAGCTAGTGGTACGGTACTTCTTGCCACACAAAATGCCAATATAAATATGTTAGAACAAGTTACAAGTGTATCATACTTAAGACAAAAAAAAAAAAAGAAAAAAATAAATATATATACTTTTTTAAAGAGCAGAACAAATCTCAAGCAGCCAAGTGGTGAAGTTGCAGTGATGTACAGTAGGTGATGTAGCCCTACAACCTCTTGGGAAGATACACTGAAAGAAGACGTCTGCAAATGCATCTTGGCAAAGTATGGGTACAGAATGCAGTGGCTGGCTGGCACTCACTATGGTACATAAATGTTAATGGCAGACTGGGAGTGAACTGATTTCAAGTTTGAGGCCGCACATGTTCCATTCTCCAGAAGAAAGTTCTCACACAAAACGAAAATTGTCAGAGCCGCTGGGTGAGTCAGTACTCCTCCTGCTGCGGGGGCTGTTCATGGACTTGCTCTTCACCTTCATGCTCTTCTGTGTGGCTCTCCTGCAGGGAGAAAAAAGGCCCCAAAACACTCTTCAACAGAAAGCATTCCTCCTGTAATCTTGTCCCGCAGTGCTCACCATAGCCTAAAGATTAACTTCAAATTTTCGTGCAGTTAAGTACAAAATGAGCTGTTACCTGAGAAAAGCAGCATCTTGTAATATTACCATAACATGTATTCACTTTGCTTTTAATCACTGCACATGCAGTACTGATATTTCCCCAGAAAAAGTGTCACTTTTCAACATCACTGTGGATTAACTGTTCTGGTAAGTGAACGTTTTGCATACCTAGACAGTGAGATGCTGTATCATAGCATCCTGGTGTCCTCCCATTTTCAGTTTGTCCAAGGATTTCTGGACCTGTCTGCTGTAGTTCTCATACAGTCTTTGATCTAGGTTTGTATCACTAAATGGAAAAGGCACTTTTGCTATTGCCTGCTTTAAAAATTAAACTCAGCCTCCTTTTTGAGGTAGGACATACTACTTTCCCAAAATAATATACCCATGCTAATACAGACTGGATTTCAAAGGTTATCAAAACAGTGGGTTTTAGCTATTTCCAGAAAATGTGACCAAAGAGTTGCAAACACATTTTTGGGGGGGGGGGGGATAGTCAGTATTCAGTGATTTATAGAGCTACTGCTGAAAGCACTAATCACTAATAAACATGTCCCTTGTGCAAATGTTACGCACAGTATTTTCCAGAGCTGTGTCTCTGTGCATTAGGAGAAGAATCCTTGACTGAAGGGAAAGCTGGATCCTCACTGATACCCATTTCAAACAACTTCTAAATTAGAGACAACAGACCTGGTATCTTGACTTGACCTGTATGTTATCAGAGCTCAAGATGTCTGGCTGACTTCTGGATTCCCATCAAGCACAGCTGCATTTACAGCTTTCTTTTCTCAAGTGGCTTCCATCTTTTCAGCGCACTGTGCACTGAAAATATCCCCCGCATGTACTCCACCTTGTGTTAGTAGACAGCTCCAAAGGAAAACTTTTCCAAGACATTGAGCTGCCATTCAAGCTGCAGCACCCCTGATGTGTTACCTCTGCGGAACTTGCCTGGCTCCCAGCAATTTTCTTTAGGAGCAAGCAGCTTGAACAGCAAACTTCAAAAATGCATGCTGCCAAGTTTCAAATCTGAGGCAAAAGTTAAAGGAAAAGGGAGGCCATAATCTGCATTTTCTCAGAATAGTTCAGAGCAGCTTACGCAGTAAAAAAAATTCCCTTCTGGCAGAAAACCTTTCTAAAGGGCAAGAGCAGAAGAAGGTTCCTAACATTTGCTGATACAATGGAAGTACTCCACTGTTTACCACACAAAACCAGCCAAATTTCAATTGAAAGCAAGGTTTCTGTCACTCGGGTGCTATTTTCAGGTAGAAGCCATGCATGTCAATCAGCACAGCTGCAGTTTAGCACCTTACAGCTTCTTGGGGGAATGATGTCCTTGGTGTTCATGGTAGGCACATCATGTCAAAACCGCTTTTTGCATAGTGTCTAAAAAACACTTCTGTGATGGGATGCAAGGGCACAGGAACTTTACAGAGAGAAGCTGACATCTGTGAGATATCATCACAGCCTTATGGGGTGAGAAAACTGAAGCTTGTTTAGCCACAGCAAACTATGTCCCTGTCTCTCCTGTCCCTCCTTATGTGGTGAGGTGACCAGCTCTGAAAAGCAGCTGTTCCATAAGCTCTGTGCGCAGAGTGTGCAGAGTCTGAGATAAACCTATTAGAAAGCCCACTCATGCAGACTTTACAGGTCATGTATATGCAATCTTTTCATGCGTATAATAGGAAAAGCCTATTATGGGAGTGGTTTGGGAACCTACTCTGCAGCTCTGAAGAGTGATGGCTCCTCTCTAGCCAGGCTTACCTTTGATGGAAATGGTAAATCTTAATGGGACTACCTCAGAGGTTGTTCTGAGGCTCGGACATGTGCTTTTCAGTATGTACAGCTTGTATAAATATATGAAATGGGAAAGACAAGAGTCACTACGTTCAATTACCTTGGGACTATGGAATCTCCCTGAATAGCATCCCCTAATAAGGAAAGCAGTGGAAGATCTATTTAGAACATTTATTTCTGGCCTGGATCACACAACCATGGCCATCTCAGTCTCCCACAACGAGATGTGCTCTCTTTTGACCATTCAATCCATCTGCCTCAAGGTATTCAGGTGTGCCTCTAATTGGAAGAGCTAGACTTAACAAAAACCAGCTGCTGGTGGTGGGGGTGCCTTTTCCAAAAGCAGCAGCAGCAGATGTAGTAGCTGCTAGAGCAGAAAGATACAAAACCAGCTGCATTTTGAACAATTGCTTCGAAGCAACTGATGGGTGGATTGCTGACCTTTGATCTAACTCCTGCCTGAACTCAGCCAGGATAGCCTATATAGGAAATCAAAAGCTTCCCATTCATTTCTGCTTTATGCAAGACCTACATGGCTCTGGGTTTCATAAGTAGACACGTAGCCTCTTCTGGTTCATCAGTTTGAAGCTCTCCTACTGTAAGATCATATCACCAAATGCTTTACATACTATCTGAGGTCTCAGTGCTGTCTATAGCAGTCACAGCATGAGTGGTAAGGGCCAACATCTCCCCACCACCCAAATGCATAATTTTTTTAACACTGTTCTCTGTCAACTTGGATGTTTTTGATGAGGTAGGATTACAAACAAGTAATTTGTAATTAAAAATTATGAAGTATTGCAGACTGATCAGCCAAACGTTAAATGGCACTAGCAGGTAACAACATCCCTCTTACATAACCAGAGACATAACGATGAGGTTTAAAACATAACCACAACAGGGAAAAGGGAGCCTCTAAAGACAAGGAACCCAAATAGACTGATATTTGTGCTGTATGACTCAAAACCTCATCAAAACCAAGACACTTTCCCCCCCCCGAAAAAAAAATTAAACCAGTCTTAATTCAGCATATACTGAATTAAACAAAGCAGAAGGTTTTAAAGTGAGATAGTTGAAACTACACTATGACCTGGAATTCTGCAAAAAAATATTGTTAGCCCGTCCCACAACATGAACATGATAAAAATCTCTTCAATGCTCAATACTATAATTCTCAAACCTCTGCAGAAAGATTTTTGTAGGGACTAAACTCTGTACCTGCATTCTGAATACTTCTACGCAGAATTCACCTGACAGCCTACAATGCTCATGGGGTACCTATGAGCTACTAGGAGGTGTGACTACTTCAAGTGCTGTCCAGATATCTTATTCATACTCTTTTTCTTTTAGAAGGATTAAATTAAGCTTAACTGAAAACTAAGTATAAATTGTCCCTTCCAAATAACAAGTTGGTATGAAAGATAGGACATGACCTCTGTGCCATGTCAAATACAGTAGATGCTAGGAAGGAAGAGTTCAAGACTGCCATCAGGCAGTTATCTGAAGTATGAACTGAAAACAAAGCTAGTCACAATCTTCAAGCACAAGGCCTTGGTCCGGGATCACTTGTGCAGTATGCGAGAGCTGCATTCTGGTGCATTCCCTTCCTGAAGAAAAGCCTCATGGCCACAGTATCATTTATAAATGTCACAAATCCTGAGAACTAATGTAATCTTTTTTCCACTTTGCCTCCATATACTTGAGAGACTTTAAAACAGATAAAAAGAAAAATCTAAGCCAGATTTACAATGAACTCACTAGCAAGAAACTGGGAATGCTGAAGTTGTCTGTGGTTAGGAATTGGGGCTATTTCCAATCTGCAGACTGGGAAAGCCAAACTGCTGCTACTGATGGATTAACCTGCAAAATGCTGCAAGATATAGAATTTAACTCAGGAACAAGTCATTACAGAAAGGTGGAAAAACAGAACTGAAGGGCAAAACAGGACATTGAGGTAGCAAAGTCCAAGAACAAAAGGTAGGCAGGATCTGCATCACCAAGGGAACCAGTGTCTTTGATTTAACACTAAGGCACTGGGGTCTTTCCTCAGCAAATTATGGTCTATCTGCTAAGCTGAGGAGGAAATGCACCCCAGAAGATAAGGAGATCAAGTCTCCCACTAAAAGGTAACAAAAAAACTGAGCTGGGAATGGCCTCTGTATTATTCTCTGAGGGAGCAGTGCTCTCCTGATGGAGTAATGTACCTGGCCTCCAAATGCAAACACGCTTCAGATAAAGGCACAGTTGTTATATGTAGTTCATGTGCAGGCAAGGATGATGCTAACAACAGAGAAAGGCTTGGAGGGAGGAAGCAGATAAAACACTGGGATGTGGACAGAAGTAGAACATTTTGTAATGTGTTCTGCCAGTAAGGAAAACTGCAGGAAGAAAAGCAACAAATGCATTCCTTGGCACGGAATCACTTGCTATTTAAGCCAGACAGACAGATGTGGTAGGGGTATGGGGAGAAGAGGGATTTTTCTGGCTTTGCTTTATAAATAAATCACTGTTCTTGAATCCAGAAGACATTTTCTCTGACCACTATATGTATGTAACTCTTTTAGCCTGTTATCACGTGCTTGGCAAATTTGTCTTATTGTTTATTCCTGTGAAAATAATGGTTTCCTCCTCCTTTTCCTCTTTAACACTCACCCCACACTGTTGACCTCTTTCCCCTGTCACTTCCCATCTGAGCAGTGGCTCAGATGCCAGTGCCCATGTCAGTGCCCCTGTCAGTGGCAAGCTTTTGTCCCTCTTGCACCTCACTTTCATTTATGCTGTACTAGTCTTTTAGAAAAGCATGTGAGTTAGTGGTTCCTGCAGCACTACTTTTGATGCAAAATTTGAAGTCTGATGACCACTGCTGCAACAGCTTTCTGGGAACAGATGTAAGACAGCCTACAATACCACAGTGCTGTCAAGAGATTAAGTTGATGCTCAAACACTCTGGAGCCAAAGCCATCATTCACTGGACACCGAAGGGTCAATCGTCAGTACAATGCATAGAGGGATTTAGTTCACATGAATGGGAGCAGTTCAGCTAAAACTCCACTGAATCATTATCCCTGCATGTATCTGAAGAATTTAACCAGCACCCTTTGCAGCTTCTTGTTCAGTGTCTACAGCACTAAGTCTAAGATGCAATGAGATTGTTGTTTACTCTTGCAGACAATACATTTCTGAAGTTTCAATAATAGAGGATTATTGGGCTTGCACAAGGAAGAATTTTGCTTATAGCAACAGGATAGAAGAAATGCTAAAGAGCATTATCTCTGCAGATATAATTACGTATTTGGCAGCCTGTATCGTACACATTACAACACCGCCACATGGGCTACAGAAGGTTCACAGCTGCAGACACTGAACAGCACCTCTGTCAGAATTTCTGTGATTTTCAACATGTTGAAGAACATGAGTAAAAGACTTTATGCAGAAAGGCAGAAGACAAAACCACAAAATTAAGGCTCAGAACCATATGAAACCAATTTAAAGTTGTGACACACTCCCTCCTCTTTCAGATCAGCTTCAGCAAACCTAGAATACAAAATCTACACTGAAAGCAGCAAAAAGCAACCAGCCTCCTGAATCCCTTCTCCAAGTAGAAAAGTCAGTTGCTTCAAATGCAAACTTCCTTTACAGGGGATGGGGTATGGAAATCCAGCTGCTACAGTTCTGCTCACCAAAGTATAGGACATGACTCAATACTGTGACAATAAATTATGAAATTTGTCTAAATAAAATGCATTAAGCTTGAACTTACATGTTCTTCTGAAGCATAAAGGACTTCCATTAGCCGATTCACAAGGTCATTATTCTCTCCCCCGTGTTCTTGGCAGAGAAGTTCAATCTCCCTTAATTTGCCAAAGTAGAAATCCCTTTCCTTCTCCACTCCTTCAAGTGCAAGTTTTAATGAATGTACCTGCAGATGAACCAAGACGTGATGCATCAGCTGAGATGCACTAAAGACAAAATAACTCAGTCTACAATTATGCGTGCTGAACAATCTTAAACATATATTCAATATTACAGCTTAAAATGAAGTCACTTTTTTCCTCAAGTGCTAGATTGAACCCTACATAATAGACAATAGTAAACCAGGCTCCCCCATTGCACCTCTTAGATACATCTTAACCTTGATCCTTAAAGGTCAGTTTTCTTGGTGCCTTTTTTTCACTGAAACCTCAAAGCAGCTGTTCAGGGATCAGAGCTACTAGCTATTCTATGATTCTGTCTCCTAACAAGGCTGCCAGAAGTGTCATGTGATGGCAGTTAATTAAACTTCCAGCTCAGTACTTGCATTATTTTGCTGGATTAATGTGTAGTTGTTGAGAAACCTACAATATTCTCCTCACCTAATAGATCTAGCAGAAAAGCTTACTAACGGAAACAGTCTAGTTAGGAAACTAAAAGGTCCGCTAGTTGCAAATGTGAGTAGTGCTGTGCTGTTTTTTCACCTCTTCTTTTCTGCCCCCCACTTACCATACTGTTACAGACCCATGTTTTGATACTCTGAGGCTGTGACTGGCTGCACCACGAACATTATGACCTGATTCTCTCAAATGCCAAGTAACTTTCTCTTTGCAGCCTTGCTCATAAGTCTTTAAGCTATGCTGTCAGTCCCAATTTCAGCACTAGGACTGCCACAGATCATTTACGGGCAGCATAGCTGTTAATGAAGCCTCATCATTCATGAAAGATGTTGCAATATTTTTTTATACATACATATATATTTACACGTATTTAAAGAACAATTTTGTGGGAGCATAATAGATAAATTACTGTCCAGCAGGGTACACACAATCAGGATAATGTAAGTGGCTTGCAAATTCAGGGGACAGCAATGTAACAACCAACTGAAATAATCACAGATGAAACTGTCTACAGTAAATAGACTGACCCCAATCACATCCAAATTACAGCCAAATTAACATCCACATTTTGAGGCCTGCAATTATACAAATGATTTTCTAAATAAAACATGCTAAACAAATTCAATCTCATCAGACTACATTTCAGTGAACTGATACCATTTAATAGAATGTTCTGTGTTGCCTGTTTTACTGCAAGCTAATTTATTTCCTTCACTAGTGAAAATACCAGCAGGGTTCAAACAATGCTTTGACAGCCTACTAAATCCTATCAGTTCACTTCTCCATAACTGCTGAGCTGGCAAAGCCTTTTTCTGACCTTTGATTGCACTCTCAGAGGTGTCAGACAGCAGAACTAACCTGTTATCAGGACAGGATCTCAGAACATCAAATTCATGCACTGACCCATTTCTGACAGGTCGCCTGAGTGTGACACCCAAATCTTCCCTTAGCAGTTTGAATCTATGCAACAACCAGTCACCTTAAAATTAACCATTTCTTCATGAAAGTAGGAATAGCAAAATGGAACAAGAGTTTACAACATTTTGGCCTATAGATGAAGACCTCACGTTTAAGACATGTCTTCTGGATCTGTAGCAGCATATTCGTTGAGAGCAATGCCTGCATCCAAGCAGAACAAGAACGTAACTGCTTCCAGATCTTTTACTCTGTTCTTGCTAGAGTTTGGGAAAACAATGAACTTCAGCTGAAACATTGGCAGCTAATTGCTCAGACTATCTCCACTTCTGATTTACGTACTATGAAGGCATTCTCCTGTTTTCATTCTATCACATTCACTTCGCTTTAAGAAATGGAATCATTAAACTATGCATATATGCACACAGTTAATTAGCTAAGTATACAGTAAATATTGTCATAACCAATGCAGATATGTTTTTCTTCAGTTACATATCTGTCTGTGATGGATTAATTTGTTTTTCTTCAGACACATAGCATATCCACACCCCACGCTTTGCTTCTATGAACGTGCCAAAAAATTGATCCTATATAAGGAACAGTACATGTTGATTCCCATGCTCTGTTTCTGGACCAGAAGTACTTTTCTGCAATCCAGTTAACTGGTGCAAAGGCAGCAGCTCTTACTAACTGGTCTTTTCTCCGGTTGCTCTTGTTGGTAGTATGAAACTCACAGGGCTGCAGAACCAGGTTGAAGATTAAGCACATCCTGTAGACATGCAACCAAGTTGGAGATGTTTTCAGAAACTATTTGCATGCTATCACACAGTTAACAGCTCTTAGGACCATTCTCCATACATAGATGTCCCTTCTCCATATGTAAATGTCCCCTCTCCATACATAAAGGTCTCTGGTCTTTGTCATCTCCTCAGCTGTACTCAGAAAAACTCTTTGGGAAACTGTTAGTTGGCACAGACCAAAACCACAGCAGGAACCACTTTAGTATTTTAATGCTATGGGTAATCAAGCTTTAGTGCACAGTGACATTCTTTGGAAGCATTCAATTCACTAGCACAGACATCCCCACTACTTAAATTTTTCCATTACGAATTGCATGGGAGTTCAGATGTTTCACTGTCCCTTAGCTGCCATTCATGAAAGGGCTGAACAAAGAGTCTGTTACAGCCATATAGGAATTTGAAGCCCACAGGCACCATTCAATGTTTCTTATTCATAATCAAGACAGCAACTTGGTAAAAATCAAAACAGCAACTGGGTAGAAGTGGCTGTTGCCCTCATCTCCCTGTTGCTGGAGAGTGGTTAAAAATGGGCAATTTGTCTTGCAGCATGTTCAGACTGGGGGTCAGAAAAACGTGGCTCAGAGCTGCTTGCAGCATAGTTTTTATAGCTCCTGTTATATGCCCAGGGTGCACAAGTAACCATTAGTGGGAAATGAGATCCCAAAGGCTGCCAGCATTAAAAAGCCTTCCAGACCATTCTAGCTAGAAGAGGTCTCTTAAAAACTAGCTATTAAAACACCAACTTTCCAAATCCACAAAATTTCTTCTCCTCTTTGGTGATGGGAGAAATCATCAGTTTTCCTCTGGGTTGTTTGTATATAGGGCTTAAGGTTTTCACACGTGGAATGTGTTAGGAATACATTAGCAGTGGATGTGATAGTGACTGCCTATTTTAGTAAAGATCAAATATTTTGCTGTTGTTCAGATCCAAACCAACCCTTCCTTCTGAAGCAAACTCATTCTGACTTCTGAGTACAAATGTCATGGTTTAAGGTACATCAAACTGACGTTTCAACTCCACTCTTACATTGATTAGAAAGAAAAAAAGCTTCCATGAAACATATATACATCCATTCCTTGTGCAACATTCCAAAACTTTTTTGTTACAGCAACAATCAAAAGCCTATTTGAAAGGCTGGTGGCCCCTGTTGTGTTCTCTGCTGTTCAGAATTTCACCCTGAATCCACAGGATGCTGTGTTTGGGATGTGGCTATCCATCTACCACCTTTTGGTGAGCAACAGTAACCAAGAATTTGAAAATGATGCCTCAAAAAACTGAAATCTTTGTTGTTTGGTTCAATGAAACTCTGAAACTGAAACGCCCTTAATTGTGGAAAATTACACTTGATCCAGAGTAATGATTTCTTCCTGAATGAAGCTGCCAAGCAGCTCAGACTCTAAAATGGGAGGTTTTTCCTTTCCATTTTCCCTCATCCAGGACAAATACAGGGATCAGGCCTCATTTATACTACTGGCATTTAAACCATTCCAACATCACAGTCTTGAGCCAGATGCATTTATTCAAGCCCAGTGCAGATACAGGAATGACACAGTGGTGTAAAGCTCCATAGCATAAATGAAATCTAAGCCCTTGCATTCTAACATTAAAGAAATTCTGAAGCTTTATTAGTTATATTATAGTGTTCTGCAATATTATTAAGTATTCTGACAAAAGTAGATCACATTTTTAAATTAAAAAGGCCTATTATGTTCTTAATGCCTTCCTTGCACAAAGCAGAGTGCAATGAACTAGTCTTGATTTAGCTGTAAATCTCTGACACATTGATATTATAAACAGGCTTATTTTCTCCACAATGACACATGGAGATGATTTATTTCAAATTTGTAATACACAAGAGCAAAGGCTATGGGGCTTTTCCTATCTGAGTGAAAGAAAAGATACATTTCTACATCTAATAACTTCAGCAGGACTCACCTGTCATTCCTAAAATGACCTTTTGAAAATCCTGGCAAACACCAGGCGTCTCTGTCAGATGTTATTTTTAACAATAAATCACTTTTATTTTTTTACCTTCCCAGCTGAGCTGTTTCAATCTTTTGTCCCCGTATAATTGTGGAGAGCATCATTCAACAGAGGGCAATATATTTCGTGCCTGCCTGTGACACTGAGTGTATCTAATCTTATGCCGAAAGCAAATTTACCTGTTCGCTGAGCTGTATGACTTGGGTTTCCAAATCTTTATCTGATTTTGATGCTGAGCTGCTTGGTGCAGCTTTTTTTGCTGAAGATGGGCGAGAAGGTGTTGATCCTGGTTTAGAAGCTGGACTGGATTTAGCAGCACCTGAAAAATGCAATAAATAATAATTAAGATTTCTCTTCATGATAAATATATTCCTATTAACCTGATACTGAAACAGGAGCATTCATTTTACAGGCAGCCATTCAATCTCTCACTTCAAGGTGACAGTGGAGGAAGCCCCAGTGCTGCTATACAGAAAGGAAAAAACACATTTCCTAGCAGTTTAAGTTTGCTGCTGAGAGTGAAATAACCCTGAAACCAAAATAAACAAACATATATCAAGTTCCCTTATAGGTCTCAGCAGCTTTCAGGTTTAAAAAAAAAATCTACCATTAACAGACCATTCCCCCTGCCCTGTATTTACTGTATATCTATACCTATCTTCAATTTCCCTGGAGAAAGATAGACGTGAAAAACCCAGCTAGAGTGTCTCAGTTGCCTCATTTTCACATGTAAAATATCCCTGAGACATAGGTATTGAAATTCAGACAGAGCATGCAGAAATTAAACCCATCAGTGAACTCACGGTTGCCATAGTGACCAAGAGATGAGTTTTGATCTGCTTAGGTTTTGGTGTTTGTTTTTAATTACTTGCACTGCAAATCTGCTAGAATATGGAGCAACATCTTTATTAGCAAAAGTGGCAAGTAACAAATGCCTACAGGTATGCTTTTTCACAATGCTTGTGGCATACAAATGCCCAAACAGAGGAACAGTTGTGTGAAAGGATATCCAGTGCCTTCATGTGAACCTCACACACATCTCCTGGCGCTTTGCTCCGCCTCTCCATCTTTCCTCTCCTTGTCACTGTCTTTTTGATTTAGTGCTCAACCCTGGTACACAAGTGCCTAACCCACTGCTCTTGACCTTGCCTAGGTTCCCATGAGCACTGCAATCTGCCTCTTCCTAATCCCCTCCAACTAGGAATAAATTTCAGATGCAGTAGACATACATCTGGTACAAAAACTGCTTGGGTTAAAATGACAGAACAGAAACCCAGCCCCCTCTCAAACCTATTTTGATTTATAAAGCATGCATGTGAATCACAAGTCATGCTCTGCAGCACCCACATTTATCACTTTTTATTCAATGGCTCTAACCTGAAAAAAGGTAGATTTAGATTAGATATTAGGAAGAAATTATTTCCTGTATAGGTGGTGAGGCACTGGCACAGGTTGCCCAGAGAAGCTGTGGATACCCCATCTCCTAATTGTTCAAGGCCAGATTGGACGTAGCTTGGAGCAACCTGGTCTAGTGGGAGGTGTTCCTGCCCATGGCAGGGGGGCTGGAACTGGATGAGCTTTAAGGTCCTTTCCAACTCAAGCCGTTCTATGATTCTTACAAAAACCAAAGTACAATTGTCCGGACATGCTGATGGGCTCCATGGACATCTTCCACCATTGAATGCTATTGGCTCTGAAGCCAGGGACACACAGGGTGTGGGAAAAAGCCCAAATCCAGCAAGCACCCAACTCCCAGCTGAGCTCTAGCTTGAAAGCCACCAGTTCCGGAGGGATTTGCCCCAGCTTTCTCAGCAGTCACCTTCCACCCTACACCTCACCAGCTGCTCCTCCCCCACAATTACTTGATTTACAGCATGCTACAAATCATTCTAAGTTGTCATTTCCACATTGTATCCACAGCATCAGACAACATTTTAATAAAACAATTTATTGTAAACCCAATGCTTTACAAAGGCATTACTAGGAAGAAATCACAAGGAGGCAGGGAAAGGCAAAGAGAGGGAGAGACACAACTTGTGGGCCTGCCCATATTATTTAACTGTGGAACTCACACCGTCTCACTGACCTAGAACTGTGTACTGTGATCCTTTGGAGGAGCTGAAAAGTGATGGCAAAAGAGAGCAGCAATGGGTTATTTAATCAAGCTCACTTGAGCTTTCCTGATTTAGTCACAGCCCTCTCTCTGTAACAAGCATCTTCTCCTGCCTTTAAGGATAATTCTATATTAACTGGGTCATCTAATGCCAACGGAACACAAAATCAATTTGATAATTCAGTTAGCATGAGCAAACGTTTCTATGCAAGATACCCATCCTCCTTTTCCATGTTCTTCAATGCAAGACACTTTTTTTTTAAGGAATTCATGACTCCAATAGTTTCCATGCCTAATTGCACACACAAACTCACTTCTAGCAGATTTCAGATGCAGTACATGGACTTGCTGTACTATTAGGAAATTAGGAAAATTCGATGTTGTGTATATACCTGAAATTAAACTGCTTTTCACATCATACTTAGATCAGCAAAGTTAATTTGCGGAAAAAAACATTAAAAATGTCAAGATATTTTGCTGCTATATTTTTCTTTAGGCCATTTCATAAACTTTAGCACCCTGCCTTCAACACTTTCCAGGTTCAGTCCAGATTTTGACTAACTAAAAATCAGTTGCTTCACAGCAGGATTAAGAAACTCTCAAAGCCAGGAAAGTAATTTGCATTTGGATTAGCAAATGAACAGAAAAAAAACCTGGTGTCAAAATATGCATGATAAACACACACACAAAATAATCACTCTGACTACAGCATTCTAGTTTAGTCTCAAGTTATTTAATTACTACTTGTAACGTGCAACTGCAACAGTTACCTATACATCATTCGATATATATGTATACTAAACCAAGGTACTAACACTTACTATTGTATTCTACACCTACAAGGTGCAGTTCAGGATAACAACTGAATATTAAATGTTAAAAAACAAGCTATGGACCTTCAGATGTGAAACCCTGGCTGGTCAGTGCATCTCCGCCTATACCAACTACCCTTCCTCTACCTGAAGGCAGCACTGGACTTTGCCTAGGCAGCAAGCACCTCCACACAAGCATAGAAGAGCTGTTCAGCTTTTCTAGGGCAGTATCCCCCACCCTTTTAGCTCCTCACCATTTCTACCAGGGGGTCATGGTGCAAGACCTACGGCAAGGCACATTGTGCAGCCATGGCTTGTTGCTCCCTTTCATGCTCAATAGTCCTGTGAAGCAAGCAAGCTCTTTGAAGGTTTGGGTTCTGATCTCAGAAAGCCATATCATTAAGTACACACCTCTTTTTAACCTGCAGAGAAAGTTAAGGACAAAGTAGGCACAAACATTTAATCCCTAGGTATTCTCTCTTATTTGCAGCTGAGGTGCCCGCCCCCCAGCGTGTGCTGAGAAAGCGCACATCACCACTGTCTGCAGACAGGGAGGGCTGGATAGCACCAATACACTGAATTACATTCTGCCTTTCTTTGAAAACAACAAAGCCTTTCGAATTTCTAAACCAAATTGTTACTAAGCTTTATTATGTCCAGACAAATCAAAGAAGTTGACTTTTGTTCCGCTGCTCAGGATCAGCCCTTAAATGAACACAACATCCGCATTTCAGTACCAGATTTAAACCAGCTAACCTGAGCATTTCAGACTGTATCAGCAACAGCTGGATAGAACTTAATTGCAACAGAGGATGCCTTGGGATTTCTAATCTAAAATTTCCTGGAGGAAATAAAAAAAAAGCAGCTTTACTGCACATTTATTCTGAAACATCAGTTTTAGAATCAGCTCAGAGGTAAGCCTCCCATTCTAACAGAAGCTTAATTTCATAAAAGAATTAAAGGATCCTGTTTGGCAGAGTAGTGCAAAGTGCTTGAGACAGCCAGATATCTAAACGGAGATGAAAGATCTTGGTAGACTTAATGACTTTGCTATCAAGCACCACAATGTCTTTGCAGTCAATTACTGCAATTGTGGAATAACTCCTCATGCATTGCTCAGAGGGGCTATATAATCTGCGTAGTTTTAATTCTGTCCAATATCATATCTTCTATGAAAATATTTATATATAACCCATTTACGTATTTTGACAAAGCACAACATTTTATACAAATATTTTACATTGAAAATACCTGGTAAACAGCTCTTCACTGACCACTAAGAGACATACATTGCAATCAGCACCATAAACATGACCCATTACCAATTCATTTTCAAGCTTGCTGTTGTTGTTCAAAAAGAAGTGTGGAGCCCTGCCACAGAGGGGAACACACCCATGCCCCAGAACATGCTGGCAGCCAACAGCCTGGAAAGCAGTGCGGCAGAAAGGGACTTAGGGGTCCTCGTGGACACCAAGTTAAGCATGAGCTAAGCACCCCTGCAGCAAAGGCAGCTGACAGCCTCCTGGGCTTCACTGGGAAGAGCACTGCTATCAGGTTGAGGGAGGTGACTGTCCCCCTCTACTCAGCACTGAGGAGGCACATCTGGAGTGCTGGGTCCAGTAGAAGAGAGACATGGGCATACTGGAAAGAGTTCAACAAAAGGCCATGAAGATGACTGAGGGATAGGAGCACCTCACATATATGGAACAGCTGAGAGAGCTGCGTCTGTTCAGCCTGGACAAGAGAAGCTTTGGGGGATTTTATCCATATCTGAAGGGAGGGTGCAAAGAAGATGAGGACAGGCTCTTTTCAGTGGTCCCTATTAAAGAGCAAAAGGCAATGGGCACAAAATTGAAATACAATAAATTCCATTGAAACATAAGAACAAGCTTTCTCACTCTGATCAAATACTGAAACAAGTCCAGAGGGATTGGGGGGGTCTCCATCCTTGGAGATACTCAAAACTTGACTGGATATGGTCCTGGGCAACTGGATTTAGGTGACCTTGCTTTGAGCAGAGTGGTTGGCCTCGGCGATCTCAGAGGCTGCCGTCCCACTTCCACTGTTCTGTGAGAACTCTGCTACTGCATGTTCCGATTTTACATCAATGCAGGGTCCAATTAGAAGGTTTTGTAAATAACCGCTTCAATTAGCACCTGGATAACTTTTTGTACATAACATTTTGCCCATATAACACTACCAGAGATGGGAAAAATACATTCACAGTTGAAAGACAAAATAATTTGTTCTTGTACTGATATAAATTAGATGAACCAGCTTTGAAATGCATTACAGGTTTCTATCTGTGGTGCTCCAGAAACAATCACTAGTCAGTCCATCATAATCAAGTATATGCCCACATAGTTTCAGCTTCACAATTCTTTGCTAAAGACT